ACAGCTGAGACCATAAAAAACTCATTTTGCAAACTCAGTCACTCGTTTCCGACGCAACATCCTGCCATGTGCTCTGCAAGGTGTGTTAAGACTTTTTTCCATCCCTAATCCTTTTCCTGAGACAAGTCGCTTGAGCACGTCTCAAACTGGCAGGTTGAAGCGATTCTGAAAGTGAAATCAAAGGTTAGAGCCGGTGCGGGGAGGCTCTGCCAGCGTCGACGCCAGAGCGCTGTCCCCCCCGCGGCGGAGGTCGTGCATGGCTGGCTGTGCAACCTCTCCGCTGCCCGCCTCGTCCCCAGGCAGGAGACAGCTTTCGCCTGTAATCAGAATTTGAAGGGGGCTTTCAATGGAAGATTTTGTAATTCGAAAGGTTTACATTTCAGTGGCACTTACACAGCAGAAAACTTATTGGAGGCAAGATCCCCGAGAGGCATCGGCATACTGGTCTGAAACACACAGTTTATTAACTTCAGAGAGAGCTACAGTGGTATTCAAGCCCATCCAATTAGTGAGGCCTGCACGAGCATTTGCACTCCTAAATCTCTTGGTTTCTGAAAGGGTTAAAGCTTATTATTAGCATATAATTTACAGGTCCTTTCTCCCAGGAAAGAAATAATGCACAGTAAATGCCACATTCATTTTAATAATACATGTTACAGTCTGTGCCCAACATCTGCACAAAGGTAAAGCAGACAGATTTTTTTGACATGTCCCACTCTGCCATCCAAACACAGGCTTTTTGTTTCTTAAGTGACGGAAGGTTTAATCAAGAAAGCAGGCAATTCATCAATCGAAACAAGGCTGCTCACACTGCCCTGACAGCACACACATGGTTTTATACAGACGAAACCTGGCCACCTGTCAGCAGCACCTTTTACATCAGGATATACAAATACACCAAGTGATCAATCCTCCAGCTCTTCCCATTCATTTCTTCGTTTTCTTATTATATTTTTCTTTATGCTAGATGTTGCACTCATTCTCTGCAGGGATAGATGGGAGACAAGGCAAGCTATGGCTGTTTATACACTATCGTAAAAATTTATATACCCTTAGAGTGACTTATTTCTCTTCTATTTGAGTACCATTATTATAAATAATTTTTCACTTCATTCAGGAATTTTCCCTGTACGTTATTATCTGTGGCTGCCTGAGAGGGCTCCCTCTCTCCCTCACTGTCCTTGTGCCTCTGATAAGCCAAAGCAATATGCAGCCAGAAGATGCTCGAGTCTGAAATGAAGGCAGTATGTAGTCACAACAACATCTTAATTAAGCTGAAGGCCATGAAGAAAGACTATGCTGTGAAATACTGAGCAGTGTCTGTCGACAGGTCTGTCTGGAGCAAGGCATTCTTCTTCCAGCAGCTGCCCGTTTGAACGTGCATATTAAACCTGTCAGCTCCTTAGCACCGTGCTGCCAGCAGCACCCAGAGACCTTCTGCAGATCAGCTTCAAAGAAATTCTGCCTTTTGGTCTCGGGCGCATGGCACAGGGCAGGACCAGGGAGCCTGCCGGGCGCGGAGGATGCCGCCAGCAGCGCAAGCATAAGCGCAGACGGCAGTGCTGCGCTGCAGCGGCACGTGGCGGGCTCCCTGCGCGGGGCTGCGAGGTCCGGGCAATCGTGTCCTGTATGCACCCTGTCAAAGACCGATTCGTTCGTTTACTGTGCAAAGAGGAGCCTCCCTTTCTGGTCACCCAGTGTTTCATTACCAAGACTGGAAACAACAAAAGGATGGTTAAAAACTGTAACTACTACTTTCAAGACCATTTTTTCCTTGACTCCAGCTTTGTGATAATAATTACGTTAAACACCCCAAGGAGTAACAGGACGGTTCCAGTGGGGATCTGGCAATTTCTGCCAAAATGTATTTTGAGATACAGAGTAGGCTCAACAGCCAAAATTCATTTCACCTTCCAGAAACAGGCTGAACCCCAGATGGAAGCTTCATTTTCTCTGACTACTGAGAACATCTTGGGTATCTACAGAGAGAGAACTGAGACCATGCTGCAACTCCTAATTTCCCCCTTCTTTACAGCCCTCCCTTCCTAAAGGGCCCATCCTGTCCCCACCACAAGAAATCGGACTGAGGCGATATCAAAATTGGAAGATAAGAGACCATTCATAACGGCTTTTGTTTCCCTGCGCCAGCACCAGGAAATCTTCCATTTTGCTGAGAGCCAAGAGAGGGAGCCCGCAGACCCGTCCACGCGCGCGGCAAGACCAGAGAGGAGTCCTGCACCCGCCAGACCCCGGTCACCTCGCCTGCCACGCCAGCCGCTCGCCGCCACGACCCGCACAGCTTCCACGCGCCCACATCTCCCCTGGCGCCGCGGGCCCCGCAGCACGCTGCGGCCCGGACCCCACCGCGGCAAACCACATCCCAGCAGAGCAATTAGGGACGACAGTGGAAGTGCGTTAATAAATTTCCCGTTGCCATGGCGCTGCAGCGAGACACTTGCGTTGCAGCACAGATAAAATGGACCGGCTGCAAACTACACCGACGTAACAGGAAACTTCGGAATGGTTTCCACAGTGCGTCTGGGGGCTAATCTACCTCAGCAATGTTTAAGCACGCAAAGGGAATTGTCACAGCACCTCATCACAGCTGCTGAAAAGGCAGCAGCGGTCAGGAGTTAGGCATGAAGATCCCTGCCAATGCACAGGATGTTTCATATGACAAGACCCTTTCTTCAGAAACGATTCACAGCTGCAATAGCCATTACAGCACATGTATGCACAACAACTTGTATAACACCGTGTCTGGAGGAGAACGTGCAGTTGTGGGAAGAGAAGAGAGTTATATACTTTGACTGAAATGTGCTCATGCAAATGTGGAGGACTAATGCCATGCCCAGTTTTACAGGCCTGGTTTGTGCTTTGCCTATAATTATCTGGCAAGGTATTCAGGTTCTCTGAGAAATAAGTCATCTTCCCCGGTTGCACTGCAAGGAGCAGCAGTCCGCGGGAAGTCCGAGAGCAGGGTTGTTCTCAGCAACATTCATGCAGAGCTGCTGCCTTGCTCTTTGCACATTTGCCCAAAAGCGCAGCTCTCCATCCTCCATCCAGGACTGTCTTATGTGAACACAAGAGCACGCCTTCCCTTACATTTCTAAATCTATTAGGGCAGGAGAGTAACAAGAAAAACGAGTACTGACAAGAATTATGCAATTGTTATATTCCATCTATTTAGGAACCCGAAGCTGCAGTTTCAGTCAGAGATTACCTTTTAAATAACCCTTTGATTATGGTACATGAATTAATGCCATGTTCCCATGTTAGAAGTGTCACTCACTATTAATAGCAAGAACCTGTGAATGGCACATTTTTGCCATCTTCTCTTCCCTGATTATGCACAAGCACTACCTATTGTACAGCCCCGCTGAATCCACTCCTGCTTTTTCTGGGTTTCCAAACTGTCCTGAAAATCTCCTTCAGCCCGATGAAGGGACTGTATTTTCACCAGGTTTTGACAGAGTCAGGATTAAAGCAAATATTCTTCTCCTTTTGCAAAAACGACATAACAAAGAGAAAACTGTGGCCAAGCGTCATTCTACCATGCCTAGCACAATATTTGTTCAGATGTAATATTACTCCAAAAAAAATAATCCTAAGGAAAGCTCTCTTGCACCCCAGCATTACTCAGCTGAAGCTCAGAACATGAGCTGGCCCCGTAAGAGAAGAGGCAGGTGAAACCACTGCTGTGCCACAGCTGCGCCTAACATTTTTCTTTAGTTTGCAAACCCAAAAGTCGTTTTGCTGCGGTTCACAAATAGCTTCCAGACCACACAGCTCTCGGCACATCCAGGAGTGACAGACTCCATGAGTCTACTCCTGTAAGGCATCCTTGCCTCTCACTCGCAGGGGCATTTCTTCCTGCGCCCCGAGAACCAGGCTACGTTCCGTTTTAGCTCACTCCTCCTTCAAGAAGGCAAGCACTTCAAGCAGGACCTCCTCCAGAGGAGCAGAGCTGTCAGGGGCAGCTCACAGGGACCTCAGCTCCAAACCCACTGTGTGGTCCTGAAACACAGAAACAAGTACCTGTACCTGCATGGGCGAAGGAACGGGCTTGATCCTCACCACTCTATTTAAATACACATTTTCCCTGCAGACTAATACTAGTTAAAAATAAAAACCAGCTAAATTATTCATTGGCAGGTTTCTTCCACACTGACATCTGGAAACTATCACTAGCTCTAGCACTTGTATACTAGCCTGGAATGACGAACAGAGAGAAAGCTGCAGCTAGAGAGATCAAGCGTGCATGTGCAAGCGCATGCTTCTTAAAAATAACGCAGACCCCTCCCATATCCTAACATCTTATTTCAAATTTGCCCTAATACTGGGGAAACAAATCTATGCAGTGCCAGTATTCAGAATACAGAAACGGGAAAGAG